AGAAACAAGTTTTGTTTACAGCAAAGGAAAACCAGTCTCCTCTTGGCTTATATCGAAATCCTCCGACATTCTTTACAAATCCTCGTTTTGTACTACTAATTCATGACCAGTGTTTTGTTTTGCTCTCTCCTCTGCACTTCCACGTTCGTCACCGTGTTTGCTTACGTGCTACGTCATCTGCTGGACGCCACTCTCTCGTGAACGCGCGTAACGACAGTTAGCGGAAACTAGAGATTAAGGTTTATAAAGTTGTAAATATGGATATTTTTCTTACACAAACACATCGCTTCGGGAGGCCTTTATTAACCCCCCGGAGCCGTGTGGACTTCTTTTATAATGGATTGGTTCAATTTCTTGGACTTCAAATTTTGGGCTACCATCCACTCCCATTATAAAGCTTGGAAGAGCCAGGATGTTTTTTAATATAACTCCGATTGTATTCGTCTGAAAGAAGAAAGTCATATACACCTTGGATGGCTTGAAGGTGAGTAAATCATGGGGTAATTTTCATTTTTGGGTGAACTATCCCTTTAAATGATGCATTTCTCTTGAAAGTGAAGAACCTTTCTGTGTTGGACTGTGTGTGCTAGTTGTGCTAGATGAACTGGTTTTTCATCCTCCACCCATGAAAGATAATAAACACATTATCTTGTAATGAAAACAACATATGTGTGTCATCAGCGTGTAGCTAACTTTGCAGGAAAAGCATACATATGAGCTTAATCTCAGTGCTGGGTTACTTGAATAACACTTCCCAGATGCTGTCGGCCTGCTTGTATTGCAAGAGACTGCGATCTTAACTCCTTCTGCCTCACTTTATCTCTTCAACAGGGTGAACTGGAGAAACTGAATCAGTCGACAGATAACATCAACAGATGGGAGACCGAACTGGAGGTAAGGTTCACATGCTTGCTTTGTGGTGTTACTGTTTTTGCTGAAAATGGTTGCAGGTGTAATTCCAAAGTGGAAAATGTCTCAACGCTCAGACCCTCCCCGCTCCGGCACTGACTAATAGGAAGTTTCTTGCATGTGACTGACAGCCATTATATCTGACAGACAGAGGAAATCTTTCCTGTCCAAGTCTGGAATTCCTGTCATGAAAGCCACAAACCACGACAGCTAAAGGAGTAGTTTTGGAAAATGTTTGTCGTTCCAAACTCGGATGACTTTCTTCTAGAGGACAAACACACAGAAGTAGTTAATTGGCAGTTGCTAAACTGTTTCAGCTCAATTATGATTTCCTTTCTGAATATAGCATATGTACCCTGACAAAAAATACTGTGAAGTTACCATGGTAGACAGATGGTGTCAGATGATAATACCATGGTATTCCAAAGTATTTCAAAGAATATCATGGTACTACCGTGGACCAAAAACGTTTTGTTAGTTTTGTCTCAACTAATGTAGAATCTGTGTTATTTTAGCATTATTTTTTTTTTACTATTATATTTTTCATATTTTCATTAAGATTTTATTTAATTGTTTTTTTATATTTTGCATTTTAATATTAATATTTAGAATTAATTTTTTTCCATTTTTAATCATTCCATTTAATTTTAAGTAATTTAATTTTATTCGTTTTTTATGTTACTAGTTTGGTTTAATTCATTTTTATTTCATTTTATTATTATTATTATTTTTTTAGTTTTTATTTATTTCCAGTTAGTAACTTCAGTACTTCAACATAAACTTATTTTAGTTAGCTGCCAAGCAGGGTTATTTGGTTAACGGTTAACTAAAACTAAAACTGAAACAAAACAAACAAAAAAACACACACACAGACACACACCACACACACAACACACACACACACACACACACACACACACACACACACAAAACATTTTTATGTAATAAAATAATAAAATGACAAAAACACAACAAAATTACTAAGACTTTAACTAAAATTAAAATGAAAACAAAACAGAAAATATAAACATTAATAAAACAATATATTATAAAAAATATAATAGTATCTTGATACAAAAATATTTAGTTTTAATAACCCTAGAAATCAGATACAAGTCTTTTTTAAGTCCTCTTAATTTCACATTCATGACTGTTTGTTCCTCATCAGACCTCTGTATTTTATATATAAAAAAAAAAAATTATGAATGCTCATCCACAGTTCTCTGCATTTTACTGTATTTGGCCTGTGGTTTATTCAGCAGAATGAACCAGGAAGTGTCCCTCTGACGTGGTTTTTGTCACTGAGATCCTGTATGGAAGGATGTAGATGTCAGTGTTTTTAAATATGTCATCTGAGCGACCGAACCCACCCGACGACAGATTCATTCAGAGCTGGACACCACATACTCGCGCACGACTCGAATGCACTGGCCCTCCGCTCATCTTATTCAACAAACATGATGTTTGGTTTATTTCTGCTGAGGGGGAGTTTTCTGTCTAGAAAGCAGGGTGTAGATTCTTTCTTAACTGTGTTAAATGCTGAATTGCGTTAGCTGAAGCAGCGCTTTTCAGGGAGCAACAAAAGGCTGATTATTGAAGCGTTTCATTGCTGTGAAACTGAAAGATGGATGCACATAATTCAGAGAGATTCCTGAGCACGCAGTTCACACTGCCTGGATATAATGAGCCTTTCAATGCACTGAGATTTATTCAGATTTCATAGACTGCATGAACTCACTCTTGAATACGCCTGTCAACACAAAGACAAGAATTCATCTGTCACTGTCTTTTATTCAGTAGTTCCTACAGTTGAATTAAATATATTATCCATAATGCATCACAAAGACCTTAGACCGCACTGTTTACTGATGCATACTGCACACAAAAATGCAGTTTTTCAATCTGATTGGATGGCTTTATGCTATATTTAGAAGTGTGAATGAACTTCATTAGGAGACAAAGTTGTGTTAAAGGAATAGTTCACCCAAAAATAAACATTAGCTGAAAATGTCCTCACTCCCAGGCCATCCAAGATGTAGATGAATTTGTTTCTTCATCAGATTTGGAGAAATGTAGCACTGCATCACTTGCTCAGCAATGGATCCTCTGCAATGAATGGGTGCCGTCAGAATGAGAGTCCAAACAGCTGATAAAAACATCACAATAATCCACAAGTAATTCACACCACTCCAGTCCATCAGTTAATGTCTTGTGAAGCCAAAAGCTGTGTGTTTGTAAGAAGCAAATACATCATTAAGACATTTTTAACTTCAAACCATTGCTTCTGGCTAAAATATGAGTCCATAATCCATAATAACACTTCCTCCAGTGAAAAAGTAATCTCGTCTGAATCAGGACAGAAAGATCAAGCACCGTTTACAAGCCAAAACAGCTCTAAACAAATATGTGGGTTGATTTTGATGTGAGAAACAACAGGAGATGGACTTTTTCACTGGAGGAAGCGTTATTATGGAGTTGTATTTTAGCCGGAAGCAACAGGTTGAAGTTAAAAACATCTTGATGGATTTGTTTGTTTCAAACATGCAGCTTTTCACTTCACAAGATGTTAACTGATGGACTGGAGTGGTGTGGATTATTGTGATGTTTTTATCAGCTGTTTGGACTCTCATTCTCTCATTCACTGCAGAGGATCCATTGGTGAGCAAGTGATGCATTGCTACATTTCTTCAAATCTACTGAAGAAACAAACTCATCTACATCTGAACTGAAGAACTGCACATTGAATTTGACAAATTTGTGAGGTTTGTGCCATGAATATTGAGATTCAGTGTCAGAGACCATGCAAACATTGGATATACATTTGATATACCTGAGCATCTGAATTTAGATTTAATTACCCCCAAAATGTGTTACTGGTCTTTGTTCTGCAGGACTCCCGGCAGAAGTTTCGAGCCGTCCTAGTGGAGGCCACTGTCAAGCTGGACGAGCAGGTAAAGAAGATCGGTAAAGCTGTAGAAGACTCAAAACCGTACTGGGAGGCCAGGAGGGCGGCGCGTCAGGTGAGCTTGAACTCGTCGTCTATCTGCAGTTTGTTCATAGTAATATTTTATGCTGGAGTTTGCATGGTGTGGAGTCTTCTGGAATCTCATCTAAGGAATGAATTAGGGATGCACCGAAATATTGGCCACCAAAAACTATCAGACGCAAGTGTTTTTTGCTAGTTTCAGCCCGACGATGTTATAATTTTCACGTCCTGCGCCACGTTGTTTAAATAGCAAATGCATTTACGGCCATTTATGCACCCATGGGCATGCTGGTCTGATAACGAAGTGTGTTTAGGCGCATTTTGACCAACTGAAACCTGGTCAAAAGTCAATGGTGCAAAATGTATTTATTTTTTGTTAATTACAGAGCGTGTTAGTAATATGCGCCTATAGGCGGGTGAACAACGTGCGTACACTCTGCTTATTACACACACAGGGACACGCAGCAGCGCACAAACATGCCAAATATTAAAAATGAAAGGATTACAATGTAAAAGATTATTATTGTGCCCCGTAGATGGTCTGCTAAATTATATTACACTACATTATTTACGCAGTGCAAAAGCACTTAAGAGCTGATTGTAAAGTTGCATGAACTAATAGTGTAATCTTTGTAAAACAGCACATTTACATTATTAATGTACTACAGTGTTCAATGATCAAAGAAAGTATGATCTTCTGAAAGAATATAAATATAGGAGCAGATGTTAAGAAAAACACATTTGCCCCAGTTTAACTTCTCATAATCAAATGAGCACCTTCCACCCCCAAACCCAGCCTGCGCTGTCAGCATCTCAATAATGAACGCCCTGCATGTAGATTAGAGCGTCTGCTGTGAGCGAAGAAGGATTTGAGATCACTGCTGCTTCCAGCCATGAAATTCTCCATATTATCACCTTGTGACAGTGATAAATCAACACAAATGTCGCTCTGACACAGTCATAAAAGAGCTTTTTATATCCAGGAGGGGACTTTGGTGAGAGTTCTGCTCAGCTTCTGGCTCTAACTCAATTATTACGCAGTCCAAGTGAACAAAAGTGTGTTTATAATCACAAATTTTATCAGAAAGATAAGACCCCAAACATATTTTTAATGTCTCTTCTGCTCACCAAGGCTGCATTTAGCTGATGAAGAGCACAGTAAAAAGAGTAATATTGTGAAATATTATCACAATTTAAAATAACTGTTTTCTATGCGAATATATTGTAAAATGTAATTTATTTCTGTGATGCGCAGCTGAATTTTCAGCATCATTACTCCAGTCTTCAGTGTCACATGATTCTTCAGAAATCATTCTAATATGCTGATTTGCTGCACAACAAACATTTCTGATTATTATCAGTTGAAACAGTTGTGCTGCTTCATATTTTTGTCTCATCCTTGCTGAATAAAAATATGAATTTCTAAAAAAAAAAAAAACTATAACTGCATTAGACAAACTAATTTATGTGCTTACTAGTAAGATGTGAGAAATCTTTAGACAGTCAGAAGCTCATATTCTCAGTCTATTCTTACAGACATTAAAACAAAATGATCTGAGATTAGTCATGAGTGAGTAAAACGCTGCCAGGAAAAAGACATCGTCAGCTAATCTTTTAAAAGCTCCTGGTAAAACCTGATTCATTAGAGCAGAAGCAAACACATAAATAATAAGTCATTGGAGTCGTATCTCTATAGCGTCTGTAAGCATTATTACACCTTATTACCTTTTCCTTTCTTCATTCATGTTCCTGGTCTCACTGTGAATGATTCATCTAAATCTTTCACAGCAATGCATAATAATTCAGGTGGAGTAAATATGTACAGCACACACACCGTTATGCATGTTAGCTAATATGATTTAGTGGCTGGAGGTAATCTTATTATGCATTATATCACTATCTGTGATCTGTGTAAAGCCCTCAAGCATTATTGTGCAGTTTGTTTCTGTGCTTTTTACACTAAATTGGTGCTAATCTATGTGTGCGCGCTTGTCTGTGCTGGCAATCAAATGAAGGTGGTCTTAACTGTCCTGTCATCACTCTGAAAGACCACCATGATCTGTCTATGTCAGTAGATGAGACAGACGGTCAGGTGCCAGCTGTCTCTCAGTCAGAGTGCCAACGCCTACTTTACAGCCAATCAGGGCACAGCACACGACCACACCTCCACTGACCCACAGCTGACCAGACAGACAGACAGACAGACAGACAGACAGATAGATAGATAGATAGATAGATAGAGCATGTGTGTGTGTCTGTGTGTGAACGGAGGTTATAAAAGACACACACACACACACACACACACACACACACACACACACACACACATTATCAAGGTTAGACAGCACATGGAGGTGTTATCCAGACTGTGACTGCATTTGACTGGCTAAAATTAACTATTAACTAAAGTCTCCAATCAAACCACTGAAAGTGCTGGTGCATCATCATATATGTAAATGTAGCTCATCTCTCAGCTGGACATTAAAATATTCAAGAAATTGTTTGCACATTTCTTTTCTGGTCTTAAAAACTGCATGCCACCATACTACTTGTACTATATCTGCAGAATACATTATGTATACAGTGCATAGTGTGCACATTTTATGCATGCATAGAATACACAGATCACATACTACATTTGCTGCAAATTGCACACTTAAATAATTAGAATAAGACAGTTAGATTTTGATTACCCACTGACATTATATGTTACTATCAAACCACTCATTTTACTCATACTGTTTGTTCAGTAAGCATTATACAACAGTATACAGTGCAAATATGCACATTTTCAGTATTCATGGAATACCTGAATGACCAGCTACATTTGCAAAATGTGCAACAGGGAATACTGCATCCCATAATGCATTGCCCTTGACTTAACCTTGTATTTATAGTGTGCTGAATGAATGAAAGTTTATTTTTTACATCTTTTCTGGACTTAATTAGTTTAGACATTTCTTAAAATTAGACAAAAAGATCTAAATAATAGTTGTCATATCTGAAATAGTAACTGAATTGAGGTCATATAGCAACATAGTAGTATACTAATGTACTACATATGCACTAGTGATACTAGTGTACTACTAATGTATATGTTTGGTTATCGTTGCATACTGCATCACGTGCAATTAAAAAAAATAGTAGTCGGTATACAGTACACAGTGTAATATTCAGTGAACTAGTGTTCCATTTCAGAACACTGGAAACGGTGAACGTTTTTTTTTTCCTGTTTTCTTCAGGAACCCCGAAGTATAAATAGTGCAACTCGAACTGGAAAAGGTAAACATAGCTGCTCACCTGACTGATGCAAGTTCTGTCGGATTTATGTGTTTTCTGATTTGTTGATCGATTTTGTTTTGCAGTTCAGGGCCACCGTAGTTTTCTGGAAAAGCAAGAAAATGAAAGTTTATGTCAAATTACTTTTGTTATGATAGGAAAGTGTTCATGGACAGAGAGAAACAGAGAGGGCTTGGATTGCATGAATCATGGAGAGTCGTGAAGAAAGAGCTGGACTGTTTATTCTCTGCTCCACCCAAAGGCCATTAGAGCAGATGGAAAACAGCCATCTTTGTCTCATTTTGGATGAGGTTGTGGAATTCCTCTGGTTTGTAATGGATGCTGGGAGATTTATGAAAGCCCTTCATGTGTCATATATGGAGGAACGTCAAGATATAACCCAAATAATAGATCTTCCAGTGTGGTCATGCAAAAACAGGCAGGAGGAAGTTTGTAGATTATTTAGAGACGGTGAAGTATACTATACTTCTGCATTCTAGTGAATGCTAATAAAAACACGAGGAAGTTTTCTGCCTTTAACGGAGAGTTATTGTATCAGTAGCAGCTAGTTTTCTCTGTTTGTGGATGAAATTGCTTTGATAGCTGAAGTAGTGGGTCACTGTTTTTAGTAGGTCAGACAGAGTTTAGGGTCTTCAGATGATGCTGCTGAGCTCATTAAATGTTAATTTAACATGATTTCAGCGAATGCCGCTCATGAAAAACCCATCTGTCTGACCGAGTTTGGGAAAGAAATAGGTCAGCAAACCAGAAAAAAATATCACATGCTTGTGCTGCCTGTCAAAAACATTACCAGGAAGAAAAACGGTGTGTTTCTGTCCCGTCTTCAGACACTGAGAACATAACAAGTGTGTGTGAACAGAGACTGGTGGATAAAGGAGTGTGTAATTTTGACCTTAAAATCTCCACGGCAAGTGAGAATCTTCCCTGACGTAACTCTAATCTGTCATGACAGTGTTTACAGAGCTCAACTTCACCTGAACTTCACCCTGTGAGTGTCTAAAGGCTTAGAAACTGTAGCTTAAGCAGAGACATGCTAATTTCAAGTAGTTAAACTAAAATGAAGCTACTTAACCTCTCTAAAATGTACTAATAAAATTGTAGCAAACGGAAATGGTGGTAAAACAGATGAAAAAATCCCACAGATGCACATTTGCACATCTTTTCAGAACACACAGGAAGAAAACACCTAGCAACCACCCAGAAAACCCTGGAAACCACATAGCAACACCCTATTTTTTTTTGTAAAAATCTAGATTTGATTATATTGCACTGAGAATCATAAGATTATATTCAAACACACACACACACAATTGTTCAAAAGTTTGGCATCACTAAGATTGAATTTTATTTTTTCAATCAGCAAGGCCGCATCAAATGGATCAAAAGTCACAGTAATATTTTGTAATATTATACGTGTTTTTACTATTTCAAAAATGCTGAAATGCTGTTCTTTTGAACTGTCTCTATTCATCAGAGAATCCTGAAAAAATAAAATGCATCAGAGTTTCAGATATATTCAGAGATATTCAGCAGCACATTGTTTCAACACTGATAATAATCAGAAATGTTTCTCGAGCAGCAAATCATATTAGAATGATTTCTGAAGGATCATGTGACACTGAAGACTGGAGGAATGATGCTGAAAATCCAGCAGCAATAAATTACAGTTTTGCAATATATTCAAATAGAAAACAGCTATTTCAAGTAGTACAAATATTTCACCATTTTATTGAGTTTACTGTATTTTTAATCAAATACATAAAGCCTTGGTGAGCAAAAGACATTAAAAAATCTTACCGACCCCAAACTTTTGTAAGGTAGTGTACAAATATAATATAATACTGTTTAATGAAAACAAATGAGACCTACAGAAAATTGCTGAAATAAAACAAACACTTTGCAACTTAAAATATCAGTCTGGTTAATGTATGAGTCTATTACTATTCAGAGTTCAGTGTTCAGCGTTGTGGCCATCACATCCTTGCGTTGGCAGTGGGCTAAATGCAGCTTTTGTTTACTGCAGTACATGCATTGATTCATCATGTTGAATGGTCAGTTCTGAACAATGCTCCGAAAGGTCAGTTCTGGACACGTCTGACGTGACGCATTAGCTAACACGCTCATGAACTGGAGGAGACCAAGTGTGCCCTTCATCTCAGCTGTGCGGCGTGACTCTGAGCGTGCGAGTCACCCGTCTGCAGAAGTGCCCTACATCTCCCTCAACAGCTCTCTCCACCTGTGCACTTCACTTAACACTTCAGATGAGGTCTGTGTCTCAGGCCAGAAATGTATTCTTCCATGCAAAACAGAAATACAATGACATTCAGACAGCACTGACCGAGCCATTGACTCGGCTGTGATGTTTAACGGACTGTGACACAGACAGAGAAAGCATGCAAGAAATAAAGAAAAAGACATTATAGAGTTAATAAGAAACTAGTATGATAATATCACTTTGTTCATGTAAAGTTATCAATTTTTTCAATATGCTGTAATGACTGTAAAACTGGTAAACTTTTATATGATATAAGCAAGGATACAAGAAATTAACTGCAAATGCAAAAAAAAAAAAATGTTCTGAACATTCTCAAATTAAGATGCAAGCAAAATGACACAAGGTACTAAGTTTTGTCTTCTGAAAAATATATAACAATTAAGCTTAAAACAAGAAAAAATGATGCGTATCAATGGCGTCAAAAAAAAAAAACTTAATAAGCGAACAACAGATTATTTTTCTGACCCCACTCGCACATATTGGTTTTTGTTTTAAGCATAAAATTGCTTAATTTGGATTTTTGTTTTCTTTTTTCCTCAAGTTAATGTATCTTGATTTAGGAAAGTTTGGATATTTGTACTGGAAAGTAACGGTAATGCATACTTATAAATGCAAATGTATAGTTTATATGGCTATGAAAAAGACAAATATATATGAAATATTTATATATGATATATTTTATATGAAAAGACAAAATTACAATTCTGACAACTTCTCAGCTCAAATACTACATTAATAATACATGTGCAATCGAATTGACATATTTACAAGCGCTAAAGAAAAGCACAAGCTGCATTTAAATAAAATGTTATGTTCTTTACTATAAACAGAGTTCTTGTTTGGTTTGTTAATCAGAGTTTAACTGTTTTGTGCTAAACTCTGTGACAGCATCTGTGATTAACTTGTTTTGAATGTTAAACACTCCTTAAAAGTTTGCTGAGGTTGTTGGTTTAGAGGATAAAAATAAGAAATACCTCATGAAGTGATACAGTGGGGTGAGATTGAGCTTTATGAAATATACAGTAGCTTCTTATCCAAGCTTTCTTTATGAATTTCTTAGCAGAATATAGATTTGAATAATGTATGAGGGATCGTCTCTAAATGAGAAGCTGGTCCCGCAGTGGTCACATGATTCGCTGTAATGCTAATCTCGCTAATCTGTCAGCACTGATAGGAATCACAGGATTGAATCTCGTTTCAGTCTCAGACTGAAGTAATTTTTTGTGAGTTTTTGTAGTTTTTTTTTTAAGTATGTCTTAGTTTTTATTCATTTTTATTTATGTTGTAGTTTTAGTTATTTTAGCACTTAAACTAAATGAAAATGAGAAATGTTTCCTTGGCAACTAGCTGAAATAAAATACGTTTTAAGTTTTCATTATTTTATTTCAAGTGCTGCATTATTGTCGCTGATAATGTTTTATGGGTTGTTGTTCATTGAGTGGAAATAAAAAAAAAATAAAAATAAGGAGAAAAACACTTTACAATAAGGTCCCATTAGTTATTGTTAGTTTAATTTACTAAAAATGAGCAATGCATTAGTTAGTGTTATTTTAGCATTTTTTTTTTTTTTAATTAGTATTTTGAATCAGTCGTTATATTTATAATTTCATTTTACTAATTTTTTTTACTAATTTTGTTGTTTTTTTAATTTTTATTCTTTTTTTTTTTTTGAAAGAAATTAAAACTTTTATTCAGCAAGGATATGTTAAATTGATAAGAAGTGATAGCAAAGATTTATATTGTCAGAAAAGATTTCTATTTTGAATAAATGCTGTTCTTTTTAACTTTTTATTCATCAAAGAATCCTGAAAAA